AAAACATCAACGTAAGAGAGAAACACAGATTGGGTGCAACCCATGGACATGCCCTTTCCCGGAATCAAACCTGCGACCTCTTGGTGTATGGGATGAGGCTCCTACAGACTAAGCCACACTGGCCGGGGCGACTCCCACATGTTAACCTGCAGCCCAGATCTCTCTCTCCTGGGCTCCGGACCTGAAATTCCAACCGCCTCCTGGGCATCTGCACTTGGATGGGCCACAGGTAATTCCCGTTTGGCATTTTCTTTTCTTCCTCCCCCACCAAAAGCTCCTGCCTCCCAGGGTCCCTTCCCTGAGCTTTACAGTCTCGTTTTTGTCCTGTTTCATCCAATGAATCAAGCCAGACACCCAGCAGTCCTCCTCCACCTCTCCCTCTGCCCTCATGCCCACATCCAATCAATGACCCAGTCCTGCTAGTTTCTGGTGTCACACTGTCTCCTGCCTACGTTACTACAAGAGCCTCTTCACTGGTGTTAGACACACACACACACACACACACACACACACTCTGGTCTGTTCTCCACCGGGACCAGCATGAGTTTTCTATAGCATCGATTCTGCCTAAAGCCTGTTGGTAAGTCCCCGCTGTCCTCTGGACAGAAGTTCTCCGTCTACATTCCTTAGCAGGGCACACAAAGGCCCTCTATGGTCTGGGTCAGTGGTCGGCAAACTGGGGCTCAAGAGCCACATGCAGGAGAGCCGCGGTTTGCCGCTCTGTTGACTAATGAGTTTGCTGATCACTGATCTAGACTCTCGATTCCAATAATTACGGTGGTTGTTGTTCCTTGTGATTAAGCCCCTTATCCCAGTGGTCGGCAAACTCATTAGTCAACAGAGCGGCAAACCATGGCTCTCGAGCCGCACGTGGCTCGCAAGCTACAGTGTGCCAACCACCGTTCTGGGCTGCTTTCTTTAACACCCCGAGCTCCTCACCCTACCTCTCAAATCTGGAATCAGACAATTCAGAGCATCCTGAATCCCCAAAATTCTCTTTTCTCCACCTCACCAAGCTTACCCCCCTCCCTCCCCTACTCCTCCAGGGAGGGGGGTAAGCTTGGTGAGGTGGAGAAAAGAGAATTTTGGGGGAAGCCTTTCTTGGCCCTCCCAGGACATTCTGTGCACACCCCTTTCTTAGCACTCTCCAGTCATGCCTGACTCACTCATCTCCTTCTCCCACTAGACTGGAAGCTCCTTCAACACAGGAGCTGTGTCTTTTTTATGGTTGTTCCTCTGAGCTCAGCTGGTCCCCAGCACATGGTGGGGCGAAGATGAATGCTGATGATACCCACTGACTGGAAAGGAACGCAGAGATGACTTTTGGGTACAATGTGCTTTAATATCCATAACTGACCCTCCTCCCCCTTCCTTCATTGTTCTGATGGAAGGAGAGCCCAGCCCCGTCAGCAGGAAAGGGGGCGTGTGTCTGCGGGACTGCTGACTCCTGCCCACGGACTTCCTCTCACTCCCGCCCAAGGTGACAGATTTCCAGGCCTGCCCTGCCATGATACAGGCTAAGGAAAGGTGTGGAAGGATCCAGACTTCTGCCTAGGCATCAGTCCACGTTCTGTTCGTAACCCCAGGGAGTCTTCAGAGGTGACCTACAGTCTTCCTTTACCCATTTAAACATCTCGAGTGCCCGGTCTGGGACAGACACAGAACCGGAAAGATGACCTTGACGTGGCCACCATCTTGAAGGAGAGCTCAGATCTGGGTGGAACGCCGGCAGAATTTAATTTTGTAAAAATTCTTCTTGCAATTGGATGTGCCGCGTGCTTTGCTCTGATCATGGAGGTGTGGAGAAGTAGAGGGGAACGATGAATTATCTAGAAAGGTGTCAACAGGTGGCAAAGGAGCTCTTCTAGGGTAAAAACTAAAAAAAAAGTGCATTTCTTCCTGGACACCATGGCCTCCTGCTGCACGTGAAAGACGTCTCCATTTCAAACGGGGCCTTGAAATTCATCAGCCACAGGGCTCCTCCTGCCTCATTGTGCCCGCTCTGTGCCCTCCTTTCCCCAGCACACTCTCCCCCTCTGGCCTTCCTAAGTGAATATGTGTGTGTGTGTGTGTGTGTGTGTGTGTGTGTGTGTGTGTGTGTCTTGGCTACCTGTCTTTGCCTTCCTACCCAAGCTTTTTGAGAGCTGGGAACCCACCGGTCTTGTCCATTGCTATTGTCCCTGCACCCAGCGACTAGAACACATAGTAGGTGGCTTAGAAACGTGAAAGTGTCCCGTATGCTTGAGGAGCGGCATGTCATTGGTTGTGGCTGTGGTCAGGGGTGTGTCTGGGTGGGAGATGGGGTTGGGAGGGTGGGGAGAGAAGTCAGGGGCCCACCGTAGTATGGCTCTGAATGAAACGGAGCAAAGGATCCTGTTTAAGCAGAGAGTGCCACGATTGGGCCGTGACTTCCAGTAAGCCACTCAGGCCTCCTGTGGAAAGTCTGGGTGCCGGAAAGGAACTGGGGGGGATGGTGGTTTGGGATGGGAGGTTACAGTTTGCTTAAACCCAGAGGACGTGGATGCCAGACGGGCCTAGAGCAACATGGAAGGGAGAGAAGTGGGAACCGAGGAGAGAGAGAGAGAGACATTTCTGGGGACCAGCTGGCCCCAGGGCCTTGCGGGGAGAAGGGGAGGGCCGCGTGGGAAACAGTGAGTGGGTGCAGGAAGAGCAGAAACAAGGGTCTTAGCTTTGGCTCTGTGGAGTCTGAGGCGGCCAGCGAACATCTTTCTCTGAATCTCTAGGAATTGTGCCACCGCCGCCACGCTGTTCCTCCTACCCCTTTTTTCCCTTCCCTTTCCTGTTCTGAAGCACTCCCACAAACCGTGCAAGCTCCCTGTTTCTCAGTCTGCGGGGGCACCAGGCCAGCAGCTCCACATTCCTGAGGGAGGGACGGGGGTTCAGACCTGGAGGGCTTGGCTGTGGCTCCCCCACAGGAAGGAAAGCTGGCCTGCCGGCTGGGGGGCGCAGACGGGCGCTTCCTCGGCGGCGGCGGCAGCAGGTGCCCAGGGCCAGCTGCTCCAGCCCCGGAGGAGGCTCGGATCAACAGGATGGGACTGCCCAGGCGGAAGGAAGCCTGCCGGGAAGGACACCCCGCAGACGGGGGAGGGGAAAGGGAGGGGGCGGGCTGGAGCGGAGGGGAGACAGGAAGAGAGCTGCCTGCGCTGCTGAGCTGGCGCCCCTCCAGCAGACTCTCCAGTTCTCTTCCTCCCCACCGTGGGCGGCTCTGGCCCTGCGAGTCGTTGATTATTAATTATTATTATTATTATTATTATTGTTATTACTGTTGTTGGCTAGCCTGCCTCAGATATACCCGAAGAAGTCATCGGAGAACGTTCATGGGTTTGGCGATTGCTCAGGTTACCAGTCCCTTTCCTGTGCTGATTGGACTTGGACATGATTAGCCTTTCGGTTGCTCGCGGGAGGGGCGGTGATCTCCGCCACGTGTCCGGCTTGTCCCAGGGAGATAAAATGTCGGTCCCCCTTTAGGCCCCGTTATCACTACCCGACTCCCCAACAGCGGCTGCGACCCGGCCCCCAACGGCTAAAAAGGCGCAAACCCAGAGCAGGGCCGCAGGCTCCCCATCAGCGGCCCCGCCCGCCTCCGTGCAGCCCGGAGGAGGTTGGAGGGAAGAGAGGGAGAGAGGTGGAGGCTGTGGGAGTGTGTGGGGCGGGTGGAGGGCGCGGACCGAGCTAACACCCTGCAGCAGCCGCACCCTCAGGCGTGGCGCGCAGGCCCCCGGCGACCCCGGGAGATCCCTCCCTCCCGCCCTCCCGCCCTTAATCCCCAGGTTCCAGGCGGGGTGTTTCCGGAGGCCGGGGCCTGGGGTGGGGGTGGGGGTTTCTATTTTTGAAAACAGCTTGTAGCCTTCAATTTAAACTTTAACTACCTCGAGCTCCAAACTCCATTCCGCCACCAGAAAGGATTAAAAAAAAAAAATTCCAAAAAGATCGGGTCTACGGCTTCCCTTCGCCCCATTGGTGCAGTCCTCGGGCTCCCCGCAGCCCCCACGCCGCCGCCGGGCTGCGCAGGAGGAAGGAGGGGCGGGGCGGGCCGGGCGCCGCTCCCAGCCACGCGGGTGGGGAGGGGAGGGGAGGGCGAGCCCGCGCCGCAGGCCGGGGCGTGGGCGGGGGGCGCGGGAACAGGTGTCGGCTCGGCTCCCTCCGCTCCCCCCCGCCCCCTCCAGCCCCCCGGGATCCCCATAGCTCAGCCCGGGCAAAGCCAAGCACAGGCTCCAGGGATGCAGCCCAGCCGGTCCGCGGGCTCTTGCTTTCGCGCCAGACGTGGAAAGGTTTGGCGTTTTCCAATTACAAATCTCTTGGCTCGTCGGACCCCTGAGCTTGCAGCCGCCGCCGCCTCCCCCGCTCGGCTGGCTGCCTGGCGTCCCGCCTACCCCGCGGCTGGACGATTGGGGGTGCGGGGGGCCCCGCGCCAAGGGGACGCGGCGGAGTGGGCATCCCTCCCCGCCACCCACGTGGGGCCGGCCCTCCGCAGTGCCTGGGCGCGCCGCCACCGCGCCTCCGGGCTCCGGCCCCGCCCCCCAGGCCGGGTGGTGTGGGTGGGGGGGGGACCACTCGGCCCCCGGGGGGTGGGCGAGGGATAAAGGGGGGTGTCCCTGAGTCAGGTGGCCGCGGGGAGTCCCCCGGGCCGCGGGAACACGCTGCCGGGGACTGTGTACACGCTCCACCGACACAGGCTTCACGCTGCCGGGCAGCCGCTGATCACGCGTGGCCCCGCGAGCCCATTGGCCGGCGCCTCACACACCTTTGCCGCTGATTGGCCCGACGCAGGCCCCGCCCCCCGCCCCGCCCCCGCCCCGCGGCGCGCGGCGGTGGGGCGGAGCGGCTACCTGAATGGGGAGGGGGCAGACGGCGCGGAGCGCAGAGGCGGCAGCGGCGTCGAGTGTCTCCGCGCGCCCGTCTGGACCGGCAGCCCCGCAGCCCCGCAGCCAGTCAGCGTGCCGCCCGCTCGCCCGCCCGCGGCCTGCAGGCAGCCAACCATGCTCAACTTCGGCGGCGCTTCCCTCCAGCAGGCTGCGGTAAGCCACCTGGGAATGCCCGGCGCGCCCCGGCTTCGCCACGTCTGGGCGGCCGGCGGGGCGCGAACCCGAGGAGCCAGCCCCGGACTGCCGCGCCGGAGGGGGACCGGGTCGGGCTGCAGCGCGGTCGGTCGTGGGGGAGTCGGGAGGTTCCCTGCTGCCTGCCGGCTGGGCTCCGGTGAGGGCGGGTTGGGGGGGGGTGTCCGGAGAGGCGGCCTGGGATGGAGCGCCGAGGGAGGGAGAGACAGGTCTGCCCAAGGTGCAAGGAGGGGAAGGAAGGGGCACCTCCACGGAGAGAGCCTGGAGGCCAGCGAGGGAGGGGATGGCCGGGGGGCCTGGAGAGGGAGCGGGCTGGGGGCCACCCTGCACCTGGCGCCCGGAGAGAGAGGAGCCGCCTCCTGGGTCAGGACTGCGATCCGGGCTGGGAGGGGGCTGCTGGCGCGCATTGGAGCGGCGGGGTCCTCCCCGGAGAGGAGGGGACCCTCTCGAGGGGGGGGGGAGGTCTGATCGGTTCAGCTTGCAGGAGGGGGGGACGGCTCAGCAGATATGCCCGGGGGCGGGGAGAGGGGGTGCCCGGCGGGGATGCGGGGGGATGGCACGCGGACCGCAGAGCGCCGGGGAGGGGGACCCGAAGTTCGCCCCCAGACGCCGGCGGGGGACTCCCATCTCCGGAGGGGAGGGGGGGGCAGGTGGCCGCCTTCTGCGAACCCCTTGGAGGAGGCGGGGAGGGGAGGGTGGAAAGCGGGACCCAGGGGCGGGGAGGGGTGGGGAGAGGAGGGTGGACCGGGCGGGGGCCCTGAGTCTCGGCGGGAGCCGCAGGCGGTGCTTGCCGCGCGCCGGGAGCCTGCGGGGGCTGCCCGTCTGGGATCCCGCGGAGACGCGGGGGGCGGGGGCCGGGGCTGCAGACTCCGGGGGGCGGGGGAGAGGCCGGGCGGGCTGCGGTCCCCGGAGCGGCGTGGGAGGGGAGCACCGAGGGCTCGGCCGGCTCCCCGGGGGCTTGGCCGCCGGGTTTCCGCGGGGACCCGGCTGCTCCTCCTCCTCCTCCTCCTCCTCCGGCAGCTGAGCCGGGGGCGGGGGGCCGGGAGCGGGTGCGCCCGGGGAGCGCCTCGTCCCCGAGTGACCCAGCGCCGGCCTCGCCAGGGGCGGGAGCGCGCCGGCCGCTGTCGGTTCCTAAGGGAACGGCGGGGCGCGGGGAGGCGGGGCGGGCGCGCCGGGCGCCGGGCGATCCCCGCGGGCCGCCCTCCCGCCCTCCCGCCCCTCCCCGCGGGCCCGGCGGGCGGTTGGCGCGGGCGGGGCCGGCGCAGGAAGTGGGTGAAAGGTGGCGGCGGGCGGCGATTCCCGGGAGCGCTTCCTGCGCGGCGGCGGGGCGCGGAGCACGCTTTGTTCACATGCCGCCGCCCCGGCCCCCGCCCCCGCCCGGCCCCGGCCAATGCGCGCGCCGGCCGCCGGCGGAGGGCCCCGGGCGGGGGCCGGGCTGCGGGGAATGTTCCCAGTGACTCACCCGGGAGCCTCGCGGAGGTTAGGGCGGCCCCATCCGTCCGGCCCCGCCTGCGAGGATCTCCCCCGCCGCCGCCTCCGCCCCTCGTCTGCCTCCGCCTCCGCCCGCGCCGCCGCCGGCGCTTCCCTTTCCCGTCTCCCGCCCCGCGCCCTGCCTTCCCTCCCCGCCCGCCTCCCTCCCTTCCCAGCTCACTCTCCTCCCCGCCGCCGGGCGGCCCGCCTGCCTTTTCTCCTTCTCCTTCCTGGCTTTGGCCTCTAGATGGAGGCTTTTTTCTTTTTTTTTAATACATCACCAGCGCTGTCCGCTGCAGCCTGCAATACACGCTCCATTATGTAATGGCATTGCTAGCGATAGGCTTAAGAGCGAGGGCTCGTTTTCCAAGCATTTCCACCCGAAAGGCTTATGCATTTAAAAAAAAAAAAAAGCGTTGAGAATAATACCTTTGCAACGTGTAAAGAATGCTTTTCGGTTATTTTGGCACAGTTTCTGGTTGGGGAGGAAGCATGGGATCACGTTCATGAGAAACGGGAGCGGTGGTGGTGGGGAGTACCCATTGTTCTGAAAGTGCAATTTGACGGGAGGCGGTCCACACTTGATAGAAGGAGCTGTACGTGTGAATACAGAGGGTGTGTGTGTGTGTGTGCTGTTTATCTTGTCATCCAGCGGTTCTTGAAAGAATTAAAATACTGTGTTTTGACTATTGCGAACTCCTTGCAGCTAGGGTTTTTTGCAAATTCTGAATAGAAAATCAGATTTTCTGATTACCCAATTTTTTTAATTTTTTTTTTTTTTAGTATTATTGCATTAGCTGGCCGACATTGTGAGTAGCAAACCATTGGAACACACACGAAGAAGTTGAATCTTAAAGTTTTGGGATTTTTTTCCCCCCGTGTATTTCACTCTCTCTTCACCATAGATAACTAAGTTATCAAAACATTTTTTTAATTTCAAATAATCTTATACACCAATTTGAAAGAGACTGAAGAATCCTTATCCTGTTGACTTATCCCAAAGTGTGAAGTGACTTTTCAAAGGTCCATATGAACAGGCCAGAGCTGCCTGCTGCACTGCGTTTTTTAAGGAAGTCTTAAAAGGAGATAATTTCTCAGAGCCCAGTGGCAAGTGGCTACTCTGGAAGGAACATATATAACTCCTTTTCTTCCGAGCCAAGTGCTTCTCTCTCTCTCTCTCTCTCTCTCTCTCTCTCTCTCTCTCTCTCTCTGTCTCTGTCTCTCTGTCTCTTTCATCACAAATGTACTGATGCCTTTGGCCTTCGTCCCCTTAATGCTAATCACATGCACCTCTCTACCTAACCAGGATTTCATTGTTCAAGCATAAATGTGAGAGGAAGGTTTTAGAGCAGGCGTGAGAGAAAAATTATTTCATATTTAATTTAGAGAGTTGTGCAAATAGTGTAACATGAAAAAAAAATTGTACAGTGTTCTGGTCTTACTCGGATGACAAAAAAAACCACACATGTTTATAAGTATTCCACCTTTTGTTTCTATAGGAGGAAAGGATGGAAATGATTTCCGAAAGATCAAAAGAGAGCATGTATTCCTGGAACAAAACTGCCGAGAAAAGTGATTTTGAAGCTGTAGAAGCGCTTATGTCCATGAGCTGCAGTTGGAAGACTGATTTTAAGAAATACGTTGAAAACAGACCTGTTACTCCCGTGTCTGACATGTCAGAGGAAGAGAACTTGCTCCCTAGTACACCTGATTTTCATACGATCCCAGCCTTTGTAAGTATTGTTGTTTTTAAGATGAATGTCAATGGCATGCTGTCTATAATCTTAACTAATGAATTCCACTTCCAATTTCTCACACTGTTATGCCTGCTTTTTTCCCCTCTTTGTAGTGTTTGACTCCACCTTACAGTCCCTCTGACTTTGAACCGTCTCAAGTGTCCAATCTGATTGCACCAGCGCCATCTACCGGCCACTTCAAATCGTTCTCAGAGGCTGCCAAGCCTCACCTTGCCGCCCCTTTCAAGGAGGAAGAGAAAATCCCGGCTCCCGTCCCCAAGTTCCCCAAGGCTCAGGCAACCAGTGTGATCCGTCACACAGCCGATGCCCAGCTGTGTACCCGCCAGTCCTGCCCGGTGAAAGCGGCCAGCATCCTCCACGGCCAGGACAGCGCTTTCAGAAGGAGAGCCCACCTCGGCGTGGAGGCTGCCCGCAAAGGTGTCCCTTGTGCAGCTGTGTCCCCGAGCAGCTCCCCGTGCGAGAGGAGCCCGGGAGCGGATGCTGATGAGAAAGCGGGCGCCGGACCTTACGACTTCCCTGCGCCTCCTTCAGAGACGGTCATCTGCCGGTCTCAGCCGGCTTCCGTGTCCCCCCAGCAGAAGTCCGTGCTGGTCTCCCCGCCCGCAGCGGGAGTGCCACCTGTGCCCGTCATCTGCCAGATGGTCCCCCTCCCTGCCAACAGCCCCGTCGTGACCACCGTCGTCCCCAGCACGCCGCCCAGCCAGCCGCCCGCCGTCTGCCCGCCTCTCGTGTTCATGGGCCCGCAGGTGCCCAAGGGCGCGGTCATGTTTGTGGTGCCCCAGCCCGTGGTCCCGAACCCGAAGCCCCCCGCGGTGAGCCCCAACGGCACCAGACTCTCTCCCATCGCCCCTGCTCCAGGGTTCTCCCCCTCGGCCGCCAAAGTCACTCCTCAGATGGACTCGTCCAGAATCAGAAGTCACATCTGCGGCCACCCCGGCTGTGGCAAGACGTACTTCAAAAGCTCTCACCTGAAGGCCCACATGAGAACGCACACAGGTACCGAACGTTGCTCGTTCATGTTGTGGAAGGTCCGGGTGGAGTTTTCTTGGCGGTGGCCGCAGAGAGAAGCCAGGCGTCTTAAGGAAGAGCTTGCCATGTTAGCCAGGGTAGTGCGTGTGATACTCAGCCTGTGCAAGCCCCCTCTCAACGATTTCACGAAGGTGTTTTGTTTTAGTTTTCTCAAACGGTGACTTGTTTAAATGTCGTGAGTGGCTACTTTAATAAATCATCTCTAAAGCCCTTGGCGCCTTAGCTGGAGTTCAGAAACCTTTTTGTTTTGGGTTCTCTTATAAAGGGAAGACGTGTAAACGTGATAATGAACGTTGGAAATAGTGGATGTACTGACATGACGCTGTGTTAGTTTAGCCGTATACAATACTTGACAGTTTATTTAGTAGCTTTTATTTTTTTTTTAATGTATACATAGATAGGGTTGAGCGTGTGACGTACAGCGACTTAGTAAACGCGTAGTAACGATCATCTGAATTGTGTGTTTCAGGAGAGAAGCCTTTTAGCTGCAGCTGGAAAGGCTGTGAAAGGAGGTTTGCCCGTTCTGATGAACTGTCCAGGCACCGGCGAACCCACACGGGTGAGAAGAAATTCGCCTGTCCCATGTGTGAGCGGCGGTTCATGAGGAGCGACCATCTGACCAAGCATGCCCGGCGTCACCTGTCCGCCAAGAAGCTACCAAACTGGCAGATGGAAGTGAGCAAGCTGAACGACATTGCCCTACCTCCAGCCGCTGCTCCCGCCCAGTGACGCTCAGAAGGTGAAGAGTAAGAACTCTCTTTGGTCACAGCAGGCAGCCCAGCGTGTGACACATGAATGCTTCCATGCCAGTCTGTGGCCCTCCAGAGGGGCTGGAGCAGAGGCCCACAACTTGGGGAGCAGGCCCAGACGGGGATTCCATGACAAGAAGCGCTGTGGTCACAGGCCCGCCAGAGCGGCAGGATTCATTTCTTATCACATAAGAGACATGGGGAAGCTTTTACTCCTTTCCATAGTTTTTGAAGGTTTCCGATGAGGTCAGCACAGGCAGCACAAACTTTTGAATTTGTGTGCACAACTTGTTACTTTACTTTTGCCGTTTGTACTTGAGACCAGTGTTGCAATGTGATCCTCCCAGAGCACTGGTTTCAAGAGTAGAGAGGCTGGAAATCAACGCTACGGTACAGAGATGGAGATATAAAGTCAGTTTTTATTATTATAAATATTGTCACCTTTTCCTAGAGTTATCTTGTTTACTATTCCTCGTCTTTCCAGTCAACCTGGTGGGTGTAGTTGCTAAATAGACCTTGCCATTTTTACATTATTGCTGACATTTGGAATTGATTAGCTGTATATTGCTAAAGAGGGCCCAACATTTGGAATCCTCAAATAATTTAATTCCTTTGAAGTGTAGCTACAACTTTTTTTTTTTTTTTTTCATTTTTGTTTTGAAAGTTTAAGGAATGACTTATCTAGGCATTTTATTATGCTTTGAACTTTAGTTTGCCTGCAGTTTCTTGTGTAGAGTTAAGAATTGTATATCTATGTGTTTTCCTAGAGACTAAGATACACTGCACTTTGTTTTAGAAAAAAAAATTCAAAGATGAAAATATATATATTGTAAGGAAGGGATATCGAGAATTTCAGATAACTCCTTGAAAAAGATGGTTTATGTCATCAGTAAAGTATGTTATGAGGACATAACGTGTGCTTTATTGAATTAGAACGTTAATGACCTTTATTCACAAATGGACAGATACTGTCCTGTTAATTTATAGGTGGTTTATGTGGGGATGTGGAACTAGACATGTAGAAAAATCACTAGAACATTCACTCTTGTTAACAGTATTCCCTGTTATATCCTGTCGTGTAGTGGGTGACATACACAGTGGTAAAACAAAAACAAATTGTTTAAAATATATAGTGAAAAATGTCCCTATATCTACCCATTTAACATTTTTCTCGATATCGGGTCCAGATTTCTGGCATCCAAACTCTTGGACCCTTGGAAAAGTTTTCTTTGAATAAATAAAAAAAAAAAATCCTTGTGATTTACAGTTTGCACAATATTTCTTTTGTTGTACTTTATATCTTGTTTACAATAAAGAATTTCCTTTGGTATATCTAATTGGTCGGTTGCATTTGTTGAAAATGATTCTCTAACCTTGGCACTAATCACTTACGGCTCTATGAAAGGGCGTGGCGTATGAATTTCTCTGACGATGATTTGGAACTTTAGGGTTTAGGGGTGTATCTTTACCGTACGACTCTATTGAGGGAGTATATTCAAGATAAAACCAGGCGTCGGTTCACTGAGATCATGGAAGAGTAAACGTTTTTGCACATTTTGGTAATTTGGGGTTGAAATATAGCTCTGAGACTCGGCAAAACCTTGTTAAGTAGCACTACGTTAAAGGGACCATCACAGAGAGCGATTATAAGCAATGAGACTGCTGTGGCAAATTAAAGGAAGCCTGGCATTGACGAGAGAGTAAATTGTTCACCTCCGGCAGTTAGATTAGCTCAGACCATTAAGCAGTAAACATTACTGGTACTTAAGCGTCACGGAAGTTAATCCACCTACGAAGAGGAACACTTGCTAGTCACTCATCGGTCGAAAGAGCCAGGAGCTGTAAGTGCCACTCGGTGCAGTGAGTGTAATTTTGGAGATGACCGTTTCAGTTGGCTCTGAAATCACCTTGTCCTGAGAGAACACCTTCCACCGTGCCCAGCTTCACGCTGGCCTGGAGCCTGGGTCGCCGTCGAACAACCGTGGTAAGGGGCAGGGTAGCAGGATACCAGTGGCAGGACAAGCATCTTGGGAACTCGCCACCTAATGGCTGCATGGCTTCTGGAGGAGGCCTTGCCATCCTGCAAAGCTTCTGTGTTGGGAAATGGCCATCAGGCCATCGTAACCCTTCCCCCCTCCCCCCCCCCCCTCAAATTGCCTCATCATGGCGTCTGCAGAAGTGGGGTGAGAGGAAGGTAGCTGACATAGTGCTCATTCCCCTGTAATGACGGGGCCATGGACATTGCCTCCTTTTGCCGAGTTCTTCCCTGTCCTGGTTAGCAGTTGAGTCCTTTCCTTCGTGAACCTCTAGAGAAAAATCATTCGAGTAGAGTATTAGGGCCGAGTTGAACGTTAGCCGGCTCTGATCTCAAAGCAAAGTTGCTCTAAAAGAAGGACCCTTGTAGCATCTATAATAATAAACGCATAATATGCTAATTAGATTGGACATCTTTCCTTTTGGACAAAGTCACTGTAAGGCAGGGAGGGGTGGCAGCAGTGGGCTCGGGGTCATGGCCCTTGCACGAATTCTGTGCCTAGGGCCTCTAGTGCTGTGGTGCTGTATTAGTGAAGTTTCAGCACTTCAGTTTTGTTGTTTCTGATCTGACATATTCAGTTGGACTATCTGAAATGGCTGCTAATTCAGCTTGCTTTCTTAAAATAATTTTCATTGGTTTTCAGAGAGAGAAACACCCATGTGAGAGTGAAACATCAATCGCCCTCTTCTCTATGCCCCACCCTGGGTATCGGCCCCCGATCCAGGCTTATGCTCTGACCAGGAATTGAACTGGCAACCTTTCTGTGCACAGGATGAAGCCTAACCAACTGAGCCACACTGGCCCGGGCTCAGCTGTCTTTCAACAGACTGTTGTTTCAGAAAATTTTAGACTTAGTCAAGGTTGCAAAAAGAGTTACCCTTCACCCTTCATTGGACTTCTCCTTAGGATGCCTTACATAGCCATAGAACGGTTGTCAACACGAAGAAATTAAGTACAATACTGTTGAGTATAGGACTTAATTGGGTTTCACTAGTTTTTATTTATTGATTGCAGAGAGGAAGGGAGAGGGAGAAAGAGATAGAAGCATCGATGATGAGAATGATTGATTGGCTGCCTCCTGCATGCCCCCTACTAGGAATCGAGCCCGCAACCCAGGCATGTTGCCCTTGGCTGGATTGAACCGGGGACCCTTCAGTCTGCAGGCCAACGCTCTATCCGCAGAGCCCAAACCAGCTAGGGCTGTTTTTATTTTTTTAAAATCTTTACTGTTGAGATTATTACAGATGTCCCTCTTCCCCGCCACCTGCCAGGCCTTCACCACCATATTGTCTGTATCCATAGGTTTTGCATATATGCATATACGATCCTTTTTTTTTTTTTTTTTTTTTTTTCGCATTCTCACTAAGATTCTTAAAAGTTTCACCAAGTCCCTTGGAGGTTTCTAGAAGATTCTTGAGTAACCTTATAATTGTAGTTTTGAACTCTATCGCCAGTAGTTTGCTTTCTTCCATTTCTTTCATTTGTGACATGTTTATTTGTCTCTGCATTTTGGCTGCTTCCCTGTGTTCGTTTCTCTGTGTTGGGGAGAGCTAGTAAGTCTCCGTGAGTTGGTAGAGTGGCCTTGGGTAATAGGTGTTCTGTAGGGCCCAGTGGCTCAGCCTTCCCAGTCACCTGAGCCTGGAGCGCTAGTTGCACCCTTTTGTGGGCTGTGAGCACAGTCTTGTTGTAGTTGAGGCTTGATTGCTGTTGGTGTCACTGGGAGGAATTGACCTCCCGGCCAATTGGTTGTGAGGACCAGCTGCGACTACAGTGGGAGAGCTGCTGTGCAGGAGACACCCCTATGGAGCAGGACTTGCTTCAGTGGGGCTTTGGTGCTCACTGAGTCTGCCCCTTGAGTGTGTCGCTTGTGGATGTGTAGAGTTGTAATCTGGTGTGTTCTGACACTGACCACTGGGTACACTGGCTCTTGGGTCTCCAGGGAGGTGCAAAGTCAGCCACTACCTGGGGCCACCCAGCAGGACTCCAGGGAGATCTGCGGATTCCTCTTCTTTGTATCGGGTCTGGAAGTGCCCAGATGAGGTCCAGCTGTGAAGCAAGGCAGGCTGGTGCTGGTGCTGAGTCTTGGGCCTTTTATGGATAGGTTCGGGACTCCCTGACCGGCTGCCGCTCGTTGAGAGATTTTTGCTTGAGCAGGGAAAAGCCAATCATATGCAAAAGCCGCTGCTCACAGCTTGGGTGGGGCTGTAAATTGGATGAGGCGGGGTCTCAGGGAATCACCAGGGTGGAGCTAACAGAAATGGTTGCCAGTCAGCCCTGCACCAGAGAGGTCCCGGCACGGGAAACAATGACTGCTGCCAGCACCTCCGTCTGGAAGAAAGCAGCCCCCACGTTCCTGCCCAGATGTCAGGCAGTCCAGTTTCTCTTTGTCTGTGTCTGGGTCTCCCAGAGCCTCGTCCTGGTGCTGGAGCCGAGAGGAAGCAGGACCTTGTAAGTTCAGTTGGTGCGCCGGCCTTGTAAGAGGAGCAGCTGGGTCTCCAGCAGCCTCTGTGTCACTGAGCCCCAATCCGCACTGGTTTTTACAGCCTGTAGTTCTTTTTTTTTTTTTTTTTTTTTAATTTTTATTGATTTTGTACAGAGAGGAAGGGAGAGAGAGAGTTAGAAACATCAGAGAGAATATCGATCAGCTGCCTCTTGCACACCCCCTACTGGGGATGTGCCCGCAACCAAGGTACATGCCCTTGACCGGAATCGAACCCGGGTCCCTTCAGTCCCCAAGCCGACGCTCTATCCATTGAGCCAAACCGGTCTCGGCCAGCCTGTAGTTCTTACTGTTTGTAGGAACTTCTTTTCCCAGCTCTGGGAGCCTGGGCTGGGGGTCTGGTGCGGGGCTGGGACCCCTTGCTCCTCCGGGTGGCCTCCGGAGAGGTGATCTCCCTCCCAGTTAGAAAGCAGCCCCTGTGGGTGCCAGACCAGCCTGTTCCACC